CTGAGTCAGGGAGGTATTCCGTGTCTCCTTTGTCTGATTTGTTGTTTGGTGCTTAGATGGGAAGTAGCTCGGGGACAGGAATAGGAGCAGAGGACCAACACAGAGAGTGGGCAAAATCTTGAGGTCAGATGAGCCTCCAAGAAAGATGGAGGAAGGCAGCCTGGCAAGGTCGCAGTGTGCCCCCTTCTAGAATGTGCGAGAGATGAAAACCAAGGCCAGAGGTCACCATCAGCTGCTGACTCTCCCACGTGATACCACATGATGGATATGTGACGTGATGCATTTACCCAACCCCTGGAACACACTTGGCAGGGTGAATCCTCACATGAACCATGCAGTTTGATGGAGAGTAATGGGTCCCTGTGGGTCAGTCCATGGTAACAGCTATCACACTATCGAAAGATGTTAGTAATCAGAAAACAGGACAGGGAAGAAAAGTGTATGGGTCTCTAGTTTTGTTCAGTTCTGACAGTTTGGAACCTCTTTTTAAAATACAGCTTATAATTTAATAATGATAACAAAGATTTCCCAATAAGGTAAGTGGAAAGGCAAAAAGCATGCTGGCTCCTGGCTGGACCAGAAGAGGTACTGGTGGGGCCAGGAGACCCTTCTGAGAAGCTGAAGAGAGGAAGGGGGCAGAGCCCAGTGTGTCTTGCCCTGAGCCTGAGCAAGGCTCCCAGGAGTTTAGGAAAGCTGAATTTGAGCACCAGGCAGGCTGGGTGGGGGAACAAAGGGCCTGCTCTGGGGGAGCCCTACCTTCCTGCCTGTGTAGCAGGCCCAGAAAGAGCAAGGCCCTCCCAAAAGGTGATGAGGGCCAATGGTGTGGCTTGTGTCTGCCCCCACCCCCCCCACAGGCATCTACTTAAAAGATAGAAATTAAGGAGTGTTCAGAAGAAATCAGGAAAGCTGGGACTCTGGAATGGGCCTAGAGAAGAAGGGTACTGAGCAGGAGGTGCTGAAATAGAGGGTGGAGAACAGGGTGCAGCCAGCTGAGCCGGAGAGATCACACTTGGCTCCGTGTTCCTCGCTGGTGGTCCTCAGGGGCCTACATGCTGCTCAGCAGGAAGCTGGGTCAGGAAGGACCACACACTGGAAGCCCTTCTTGGGGAAACTAAGGTAGGGATGACTGGCTGTGGAATGTCCTACAGAGGCTGGGACATTCCTTGGGAGAGATTACCCCCAAACCCTCTTTTAACTTGAAAGCAAAGGAATCCAAAACCATTGAATCCCAATGCAAAAAATGTAGATTGACTTCCTAAAAGGAAAGGTGCAGGGCAGGACTGAGAACTGAACCCTAACCCAGTTCTCTACATCACCCTGCAAGGAGTTAGGCCATCCATCCTTGCTACTGAGTTCCACAGAGCACGCTTGTCCCTGTGTCTGGCAAGTTATCAGGCCCTGTGAAGAAATTATACACAGTTATTCTTTGCAGTAGCCTTTTAGCAGCGGCCGGCCAGTGGATCCTACTGCCTAATGAAAGGGTAGGAGGATCGGCTGGAGGCTTCCCACTGACGGTATATGTGGAGTCCAACCCGAGAGACAGGCCTTATGGCTCTCATTTTCTACACGAGGAAGCAAACTTGGATTAAATCAAGCCACTGCCCCCCAGCCCTGTGCTAGTCAGAGGCAGAATTCTAGCTAGCAGAGAGAGGAGAAGCGTGTGGAGTATGTCTGCATTCTCATTAATATTCACTGATGCTCTCCACTCTGTGACATTCTTAGGGGAGAGGTAGCGATCTCTTCATTCCTAGTGAAAGAAGCTGAGACTCAGGGACTTTCTGGTGCCTGTGACCAGCAGTTCACGACCTGGGGTTGGAACGGTCGCCCTTCTGCCCCTGTCCTCAGACTCCCTGCTCCAGCGAGTTGGGGGAGGGGTGGAGGGAAGCACCCATCAGCTGTAGGGAAGGAGTGCTGGGGAAGGAGTTGGCCCTTTATCCGCTTGGGGTGGCCCCTGCCATTCCCAGCGAGTTGGGTAGGAATTTACACTCAGACTCTGCACATCTGGACCCCTACAGGAAACCCTGTCTGATGAAGTGAGCTTCAACACCCAGTGGTAATGTTATCATGGCGTTCTTACCACATCTGCCCTGAGTGCTTAGGAAAACCCCTCATCAACCCGGTCACGATTAGAATCATCCCTGAATTTGCATAAGCATCTTCACTGAGAGCAAGCCCTGCCCCATCTTGATGTATTCAAGTGATTCAAGTACATGTACTGAGTGTCCACGTGGAAAAGTACATTTCTCGGCGCCTGGTACTAAGATCATAGCCCCTTGGGAAGAAATTATCTAACTTTTTATTCCTTTCTATAACAATGTTGATAGCCGGTGAAATAAAGACTGAGAAAATTACTTTTAGCTTCTTATTCTGAATAATTTCAGACTTCTGAGTTTGAAAAGTAGCATAAGGGTTCCTTTACAGTCTTCCTTCTGAGTCTCCCAGGGTCTAATATTTCACAGCTGTAGGATGGTTATCAAGAAGTGAACGTTGCCACAATAACGTTAACTCAACTGCAGACCTATTTTGAATGTTAGCATTTTCTAATGTCCCTTCTTTGCCCCAGGACTACATTACTCTTCAGAACAGTACTGGCTTTGTATTTGTTCCTCAGATTGGGTTTTTCCAACATTTGCTCATGAATGGAGTGAGATTCGCATGTGGATAAACCCCCCACGTGGATGGTGCTTCATCTTCCCCAGGACTCTATCAATGGGTTGGCGATCTTGACTGGTCTTATTCCCAGCAATGCTGACCTTGGTCGTGGGGTTAGGCTGCTGTCTGCAGGTTTCTCCACTCTCAAGGTGTCGTCTTCCACTTGGTATCTGAGAAGTATCTCAGGAAAGATGCTTTGAGACTATGCAAGCTCTGTTTCTCTTCAAACTTTTGTGCGCTAACTTCAGCCTCCATCACTGGGTCCGGTCTGCACCATTTTCTGGTGGTATTGGCCAAAGGGTGATTTGATTTCCTTCTCTCCCTCTACAGTGGAGGGAGAGAAACTGGAATTCTGCTGTGAGGAAAATGACTGTCACTGTCTACATGATTATTTACCTACATCAGTATGGACCCATGGTACACTATCACTTATTCAACCATGTATAGTTTCCAATATCGTGTAACTATAAATAAAGTTGCAATGGTGGAGGTCCTGTATACTTGTATTTAGTGTTATTGGAGGGGTGTCTTGTAGCAAATGTCTTGAAAGTGGCACTGCCAGGCTAAATGTAAGTGTGCGTCTTGTTAGGCACTGCTGCATTTCCCTCTGAAATGATGGTATCAATGAGTTTCCCTACTAGCCAGTGTCAGAATCCCTGTCTCACCCACCCTCTTTTCTTTGATCAACCTCACAAGTGAGAAATTATATCTCAGTTTATTTTTACTTCTCTAATTTTATATATATTAAGTACTTTCTCATATGGGTGAGGGCCATTTTTATATCTTTTTGTAAATTGCCTGTTCATATTCTTTTCTCATGTTTCTTTTTCTGTTTTTGTAGTCTTAAGTTTTTAGAGTTCTGTATGTGTTTAGGATTTTAGCAGCTTATTCATGGTGTATGTTAAGAAGGTTTTCTCCCAGTTCCTCAGACCTCTTTTGTCCATTATGTTTTGGTCATGCAAAAATTTTACAAGTGCTCTGTAGTACCATTTGTCAATCTTTTATTTTGCTTCTGGATTCTGAGTCATCCTTAGAAAGACAGTGTCTACGCCAGGGGTAAGGAGGAATTCTGCATGCTTATGAAAATAATAATGCAAACACATATGGCAGGGTTTATTTAAAATTTATCTGCAGTCTGCCACATCCCCACCCCCATGTCTTCCAGCTCCCTTCCCAGCTGAACCCCAATCAGAACTCAAGCCACCCATCTCCAGGACTCTCGGCTTTGCCAAGCCCAGGAATTCACCTCCACCCCTTGGGGCACTCCCTCTCTCTCGCTCTCTCTCACTCTCTTTCTCGCTGTCCTGTGTCTTCTTCCTCCCAGACACCCCCCTCTATCCTCACTCTGTTCCTGGTGGTATTACTTGTGGGTCGCCCTGGAATTCCCCCTGACTCCCGTCCTCAGCACGCCCCTCCCCACTTCAGCTTCCCTCTTTCTTGCCTCCTCCTCTCCTTGTTCCTGCAGCCCCTAAAATTCAGCATCTTCCTTTCCTCAAGACTATTCAGCCCCTTCCTCTTCTCAGGTGAATGAGTGGGCACATTCACAGCTGTCTGCAGGAAAAGAAATGTGATGCCCTCACGGGCACCCACTGGAGGGTCCCAGAATTGGGCTGAGCACGGCGACCTGCTTGGTGTACAGTGACATCTTCCAAAAGAAATAGGAAAGTCTGTCTGAGCTGATGAATTTTGGGATGATTCATTTTTCACTTTTAACTTTTTTTTACTATACCTTTATTCATTATAACCATTAAAGTCACAGACAGAATTCTGTTGTCATGGTACTTTGCATCTTAATAAATTTAAAATGAAAATAAAAATGTTTAATAAGAAAAAATCTATCTCTATGTATCTCTCTATCTATCTCTCTATCCCTCTCATTGTACCAATCAGGAGAAACCAATGGATTTAATCTGTTCTAAGTCCTGGGCTTTAGAAGGTCAGAATGGCCTAGCATTATTCTTAGAAAAAAGAACTTCTGCTAGAGAGCCAAAGATGAAGAGATAAGCTGTGGGGATTTATTACTGCATGGCTGTGCATTTTTATTTTTAATTTTGACTATCATGGATATTTTAAAAATTGATCTATAGACTTTTCGGCATGTTTTCTCTGGATGAATATTTACCACTGGGGTTAAGCAATAGAGGACCCATTTCAGCTTCATATAAATTATGTACATTTGGAGAAACCTAATAGAGAATGAACAGGACATTATTTAATAACACCAGAGGCAGCCCCGGAAATTGATTCAGTGGAAGGAGGATGGAGTGAGATTCAGGTGGCCAAGAAAATCAAGCATTTCAAATTCATGGTTGCCAACGTTTTGCTTCTGTTTTTGTTCATTTTCTCAGGGACCCTCAGAGTCTGGACCCCCCAGAAGTCAGCAATGCAAAGCTTCAGTATGCAGGGTGGGGCCCCAAAGGCCAGCAGCTGGTAAGCACATCGATGTCATGTTTTGGCTTTCTCAAAGTTTATGTTTTCTAGTCTGAGCACAGTTCACAGGAGTCAGCCTGCATGTGGAGTGTGTGTGTGTGTGTATAAATTATGTTTTGAATACATGGACCAGGGAACCTGAGTATGTAAAGCGGCTATTTCTCTTTGGATAGAAAACTGTTGGAGAACTGGAATAGCATGTGTGTGGGTTCCCATATCTGTTACCCTTAAAGTGGAACCCACCTGTACCTGGGCATTTAGGTTCCAGGTTAGCTTTGAACACACAGGATACAATGTGTCTAAAAGGCTGTAGGTTTGTGGGTGACCAGAATTGTGAGGTCACTGATTTCTACTCTGGGGACTCACATTCTTTCTGCAGAGGGCCCTATGACAAAGTATATTTGTTCAAATTGGCAAACTGAGATGTTTCCAGACCCAGTAAGATGAATATCAAGGATGGTACAGTGAAAAGGGCTTCCAAAAGCAGTCCTAAGACAAGAGTCCAGCCCTGAATACCCCCTCGCTGGCTGATCACAAATGGCTTGTTCAGTGGTGAGGCTGCCATCAGCCTCCCTGTGAAGGAGGAAGTGAGGGGTTGGGAAGATGTGACCTCTGACCTTACATCTGTCTAAGAGTAGGTAACGTCGGTGACCACCGTGTGGCTTTATTTCATGAGATGGTTTCACTCTTGTGAACAGTCTCTCCAGTTTGCAGACCAGACGACTTGGCCGCTACATTTAAGTCATCAGTTGATTTTGCATCTTAAAGCAGATTAACCAAAGCTCCATTTTTAAAACTCTCTTCCCCTAAATAGCACTGAAAGTGATCACAGTTAAAAGTCTGCATAGGATCGCATTGGAGAGGCTGCCTACAGTTTTAAGAAAGGAAATAGTCTTCTTCCACTCCCCCTACAATTATGTTTTCTTGGTTGCATGTTAGATCTGTTGTCTTGAACTGGTTCAAAGCAACAGGAGTGTAGGAGCCGCAAAAATATTTTCGCTTTTACTAAAGTGTTCCTAAAGCTACAACCGTGTTAATCAGAGATTTCTAACAGCACATTTAGTGAATCAAGACCAGCATGTGGCAGGGAAGGGGAGAACGGAGAGCTGACTTAGATAGAAGCTGTCTTTCCCCAAGGCATTAACTCCGTGCAAGCACGGGCAAAGTAACGGGCAATTGTAGAAGACCCGAGTGCTGGGACTGGAGCGCAGGTCTTAACACCTGAATGTAAAGCCCTCTGGAAGCCCGTGGGTGAAGAAGCTTCCAGTGCCCATTGGATCGTTCTGTAGATGTGACCCTCACACTTCTGTGGAGAGCCCTCCCACCCTCACTGCCCCTTCCACAGCTTGGCATTCAATCCCTGACATTCCTTGGGAAGATGGGAAACCAGAATGTGACTGAGTGGTCCTTGTACCACTTTTGGTGCTCCTCGGGAAAAGGACATCATCACGTGGTCAGCTGTCAAGGTCTCCTTCTGCTTCTCCCCTTGTCACCCAGGGTTAGGAATGGCCCAAGGATTTATGTCCCAATGACTCCAACTGGAGGCCCCCAGGCTCCGGAGAACACTGACCACCCTGTCTTCCTGCCTGGTGACAGAGTGACAGAGTGCAAAACATAAAGGAAAATCAAAGCCCAGTACAAAAGGAGGAGCTGTGCACGCACACATGTGCACGGATGCTTTAACGTAGGTCCAGAATCTGGATGCAGGCAAGGGTGCAGGATGTGGCTCACCAGGCAGCTTAGGACAGCCCCTTCCCTCCCTCCTCATGGATGACTGTTTTCACACGTCATGTTCCCTGAGGGACACAGGTAAAGATAAGTGATGATAGAAGTTACCATGTTCAACCTCTTAAAACATAAGTAGCAACAAAATAAAACAAGTGTGGCTTCTCTAAGAAAGCTTCCCAGACACCTCTGCTCCAACACCCACAGTCTGTCAGGCAGCCTTCTTTGGGGTCCACATCTCACTGGGTGACCTTTGGTCACATGTGGCGTGTGGACAGTGTCTTTCCTCTCTAGCTCAAGCAGCCTTTTCCCTGCCTTCTACAGCGCTGGCACCGTGCCTGACGTTCACCAAGTATTTGTTGAGGTAAAAAACGAACGCATAAATAGACTGGTTAATTAATTACTTAACATGCTCTTGTAGTGCTAAACCACTTCAGCATGAATAATCGGAGGGAGGTAAATAGCCAGAATCCATGAATATGCGTCTGCCCGTGAGATGTCACTTACTTTCTGAGTCAAGGCAATGCATTTCCAGTTACTAACTGCTGATATCTGAGTTTAGTTCCAAAGACGCTGATAGACTCTTGGAACGTTTGTTCTTAAACATACATGAATTTCAGGGTTTTATCACCCACTCTTGTACTGCCTATAAGAGGCAGTATAACTTTTGGTTGAGAGACCATATGTTAGAGCAGTGGTTGGAAACTTCTTCCATAAAGGAGCAAATGGCAAATATTTTATTCCAGGCTTTGCAGCCTTCTGTCACGATTAGTTCTCCTTGCTGGTGTAGCACAGAGTCAGAAGTAGCAATGCACAAACAAATGGGCATGGTTGTGTTCCAAAAACATTCACACACGGGTAGGCTGGCCTGGGGACTAACCGGCTGGCCTCTGTTTTAGGTGACCTTGGGGGTCCTCACCTGGCAAGGCCTGAGCCCCAGGCCGCCACCTGAGGACAGGAGCTCCCAAGCCTGTTCTGTCTGCAGAGTAACATGGCAACCATGATCAGCCTTGCAAACGCTAATCTTTTACGATGGCAAGCAACCAATCCCTTGTTGCCATTTTATTTTAAAAAGTAAATATTGCTCCCTGAAGGAAATCTGCTCTGAGGATAACGAGTCAGACTGCAGTGAGTAATTCCCCGCTGGGAGCCAAGGATTCAGCAGCAGCTCAGTTCACCAGGGCTAACCCCCGGGTCACCCGGAGACGAACGTGGCGGTACCAGGAGCTTGCAAGGGGCCTCTCTTCCCAGCCCTCTGCACGGGGTTCAAGAGAGGCCCACACCCCACGGAGCAAGCTTTTCTCGACCTCCAGCTCCCTTGGGCACAAGTCCTGCCTGGTGGCACGGGCTCCTCCAGGGAGGGAGAGAGCACACCCCAGCTGTCCTTTCCCTGCCAGCACCGGCTTCTGCCCTCCTGCTGGCCGGTGGTGGCAGCTGCTCCAGGTGAGCACCCAGGTTCTTTCCAAAGCATTCACTACGGACTGAGTCTAGGACGAGGAAGCTGGGTTTGGCCGGATTAAATAGGGTTAATCGAGGAAATTTGTGCCAGATGAATGACACCCTCCCCGCTCCCCGGCATCTCTCCCCGGCCTGTCCTCTGCACGGAAGAGGCCCACGGCACAGAGGTTGGGATTCAGAACATGTCACTTAAGGGATTTTCTCCACTGTGTAGCTTCCTTCGTTTCCTCCTCTTCATGAATCTGCCTGAACTGCAGGCCCTCAGTGTTCTGAGCTTTGCTCTCATGCTCTCCTTCCTCCCATATAGGCTCAGCTGTTTCTTTGAGGTTTTGTCTCTGCTCACCTAGAATATGACAAAATCATTTGGTCTGGAAATCTTTCGTTTATTATTTGCCCTTTCTGCTGGGGACCAGCACACTGGGAAGCTGCGGGAGCGGTCGTCTTTGGTTTTCGGACCTATACCTGGAGTGAAAGCCCCTTCTGAGCAGTAGCAGGCTGATCTGTAAGTGTAAGGCGCCTTTGTGGACTTGTTACATAATATCTCTTCCTCTGGAAACAAGAAGTGTGGAAATTTTTGCAGCTCAGGCTACGCAGCATTAGACAACATTAAGAATGCACGGCCAGCAGCTGCTGGGATGCTCAGAGGCTCTGAGACAGTGAGAACGATCTCTCTCTGCTTGGCTTGCTACCGTGATAGTGATAAATGAGCAGTTTGAAAAGCGTATTTAGTGAGCCCTTCGGGAGATCGTCCACAGCTTCGCACGTGGAAAATGAAGAGCAGGGAGAGGAGTTGGCCCAGCTGGGGTGGAGCTGTCCTCTGAGAAAGCGCCCCACACAGCCAGGCAGGGAGGAGGCCCTGCTGCCCAGCTGAGGAGAGGGTGCTGCTCCTGATCACCCCACACTTGAAGGTGGGGGACAGTAGTGATGCCTGATGGGAGATGGGAGAATACAGTTACATTTATCTCCCACAATCAGAGGATTTTAGCTAGACTTTATTTGTTTGTTTGTTTGTTTGTTTGTTTTTTTCCGGTACCGGGAATCAAACTCATGACCTTGCACTTGCCAGGCAGGTGCTGTGCCGCTGAGCTAAATCCCCAGCCCCCTTAGCTAGACTTTAAGGAGAACTTCCTTGACTCTATGACTCTTTTCCCTTTCAAATGTTTTCCCAGGAAAGATTATGGGTATAAAAATTCTTAAGGGAGAATTGGAAAGCCTCATTGCGTCAGCATGGCACGGCCCACGCCAGCTCTCTTGGCAAGGTCTGGCCAGGCAGACTCAACTCCCCAGTGCCCCCAGCCCCAGGAGCTCTCTGGGCTGCCAGCTGAGGTCAGTGGTCATTGCAGCTAGACCACCACGCACACGCACATGCTCTCTGCCCCCCCCCCATTTTCTGTCACCTTGTTCTCTGGCAGAGTCACCCTTGGTCCCCAGATCTTCCCCCGTCCTGCCCACCCACACTCCCCTGTCTGCAGCAGGGCTCTGGGAGATGGCTCATTGCCCTGGGTGTGATGTTGACCTTGGATACCCCAGTCCTGATGGGGTAAACAACCCTGTTCAAAGCCCTGCACACAGCTGTCCCCATCACCCATGGCTGGGATCAGCACAGCTCTCCCAGTTGTCTCCACTGACAGCAGGGGCTCAGCCACCCCGGGTCTAACTGGGCCACTGGGAATCCTAGGTGACCCTCTGCAGCCCATACCTGTCACCTGCTGCCTGACGTTCTGGGCTTCCGTTATCTACACCTCAGTCCTATCCCCTGGGTCTGGGACAAGCTCTGTGGCTCTAATGGACAGAATTCTTTCCAAGGAAAGTGACCT